TATTCAACTTTCGAACCTCGCAGCCTGAACATATTTTCCCCCGTCTGTTCTCATCAGACGTCACTGGTGAGAGGAGCAACGAGATGAAGGTACTAGCTCCAGTGATCCATGGACTTCAAAGAGTTTGTTTTGTCGCCCGCTTGAACACGTAGTACCGACGCGTCAAAATTATTTCACGAGCTTTACCGCTTTCTACTGTCTCCCCTCCCTAGCTGGTATCGAGAAACAATAGGAAAAGGCCGAAGTAACCAACATGCTTTTTCTGCCAGAAGATCAACTCTGCGGTTGACTCCCCTCTCTCTTCTTCTGTTCCGATTACAGGCGCCAACTTGACTTGCACATTTGAAACTGGATCATGTGAATGGGCAAACGACCCCAATAACTGGTTGGCTTCTTGGCAGATCAGCACCGGACGACGGCCTCACAGTCAGCAGAAGACGCACTCCCCACCGGAACTCTGTCTAAAACCCACGTTGCATCCGCCTTCATCAGACCCGTCCTCAGCGCTGCCCGACTTTACGGGTCGTCTCTACAGTCCACTGCTGCGTAGAAATGATCGAGTTGGTTGCCTAAAGTTCAATTACCTAGTCGTAGTCCCCGGAAGCGCCAATCGGAGACAAAGCGCCGACGGGACCGGGCTTCCAACAATCGCCGTTTTGCGTAGGCACATGGGGTGAGACGACGGTTCCACTCGTGCGCGCGCGCCTGAAACCCCATTCAAACACATCCTCCTTGCTGGTATTCTGAGTAGTTTGTAGATAAGGTTCTTTAGTTGTTCGTGGTTGGTTTCATATCTTGGCGTGTGTCTATTGGGTGCACCCCTTTTAATTACTTCTCATAATGACTGTTGACAGTGCCTGGAGGACATTCACCGCGCCAGCTAGACTGTTCCTTCGACTCCGGCAATGCTTGCAGCTGGGCTGCTGATCCCCGCGACACCAGAGCCATCTGGAGGGTAAGAGAGGATGACATCTGGCCAGGCGACGGTGCCCTCTGTGTGGAACGCACCTCGGCTGTC